GGCGTTACAGGTGTGTTACCGGTCTTTTGGGGATTAGGAGTTTGAGGATCGTTGGGGATTCAGGGATTGGGGAGATTGGGGTAGAGGAGGGTAATTGGGCCTCCGGTAACCTCACTCACACGACGAAACACATATGAATACGCATAAAGTATATGACTGAGTTGTATAATGCCATTTTGCATACAACTTTCGTACCGCCGCAGTGGAAAGTTGCTAAAATTGTTATGATACCTAAACTAGGAAAAAACTTGAATATGCTAAATCCTATCGCCCTATTAGTCTACTCCCAATACCCTCCAAGGTAATGGAAAAATTGTTTTTAAGGAGACTAAATCCGATTATCAATGAATACAAATGAATACCTGATTATCAATTCGGTTTTAGACAGAGACATGGCACCATTGGACAAATACATAGACTCTTTGAAGGTATAGTCACAACATTTAAAAAGAAAGCATATTGTACCGCCTCACTCCATGACATATCACAGGCATTCGATAGGATCTGGCATGATGGGCTATTGTACAAAATAAAAAAGACGCTGCCGGTAAACTATTACAACTCTATAAGATCATACCTTCTCGATAGACATTTCTTTGTTTGTCAAGGGGAAACACATCAGAGCTCAGAAAAATTAAAACTGGAGTGCCCCAAGGCAGCGTAATGGGACCCACGTTATATCTTCGGTATACTGCAGACTTGCCTTGACTGCCTCGTTGGCCGAGTGGTCGCAATTGCGACTGCCGAGCAAGGGGTCTCGGGTTCGATTCCCGGGTCGGGCAAAGTATTACTGGGTTTTTAAAAAATCTCAGTAGTAGCACGGAGTCTGGAACTGTGCCCGGTATATGGCAATAGGCTCACCCCCTATTACATGGGACTCATAACATAAATAGTGAAAAGTGGGTGTTACATTGTACAGTGGTATAATGTGCACCTCTGCCTACCCCTTTGACGATAAAAGGCGTGATGTTATGTTATGTTACTGCAGACTTGCCGAAATGTGATGACGTAATCATGGGAACAATTGACGATGATACAGCTATTATGGCTTAAGCCGAGATACCTAACCAAGCATCCCTTAAACTACAGAACCGAACCGAACCGAACCGAATGACTGATTGGGCGGAAAAATTAGGCAATCCATCGCAATTGTAATAATGTCACTGAAGCGATTTTAAAACTGTGTTTTAAAGTGGGACTTGTATAGCAAATTAGGATCGATTTCAAGATAAAATAAGGATAGATTTGACAGATATCAAAGGTCATCAATGGAATATAGAGTTAGAGGTCTGATAATGATAGTAAGAGTTATTGTTCTGGGGTCAGGGAAGTCGAAGAAGCTAGAATCCAAAGGCCATGGGCCGTACCGAATAAAAAGGTTTATACCCAATGACAAGTTCCTTACAGTAAACACACCGCTTATGTAGAAGGAAAATGTATATAAGAAAATGCACAGACATATACTTTTATTTATGAATGTACAGATTAAAAAAAAATAATAGATGGTTACATTTATTAATGATGGTTATTTGGTGAATTAATCTCAGTTGAGAGAATAATTTGGTTTGTGGGTAATTCACATTCATTGTTATATAGTATTGATGGTTATTCACTTGAGTGTATTTACTAATGTTTAATCATTGCACAGAGCTTAAGTTAGCTTCCACTGAGCATGAGCACACTTTGTATATAACTCATCTTTTGTTGATTTGAGCCTAGCATGAGAATGATTATATGAACAGTAAGGGTTTTTTTACAACACAGCTTGGTTAGATGAGAGGTGGACATGAATGATACGACCTGGAGGGTCGTAGCACAGAGTAACACAGCGAAACAAATTGGTGGTGAAGTGAAAGTGGAGTAACCTCCTTTTGTTAAGCTGTTATAGCGTATAGTTAAGTTGATTTAATGTAAAATTTAATGATCAGTTTGAATTTATATTTGCTAAATGTTATAAACTGATGAACCAACAAAATTATGTAACCAGAGAATTGTATTGTGAACCTGATTGAAAAAGAGTAACCTATGGAGTTTCTTGCTCGTTCTTCTCCATTCCTATGGACTCCAGACTCCTGTCTACACCTTGGAATGAGCAAATAGCTTCACTTTTAATTTTTCTGTTGCCGTTCAAAAGTGAAATGAATGATTTTGCCTAAAACAATTATGGCCTTAACGAAGGGACTCGTCAATGAGTCGGATGGCCGACTGTTACAGTCACATATTTTATCGCTCACTGTATTTATATTTGTGACTAACAATATTGTCTAAGTATTTCAAACACTAAAATGCCTGTTAGTAATATTGTGGATTGATTTAGTTTTCGAACGTGGCAACACTATCCCTGTCGGGCATTCGCGCGGTTTTGTTTTTGACAGCAACAGATTAATTTTTGTAAAACAATATAAACAAGTGAATACAAATTATTTTTGAAGAAGTCTGAGTTTTAATTAAGATCACCATCCTTCTGAGCGTTTTAATATGTTTTAACTTTAGTTGTCTCTTCAATAGTTTTATAAATTTTATAATTACTTTGTACGCCAATTCTGGCAAAACATGTTGAGACGTACAGTGTTCACTTTATCATGTGCATTTGCATTGATATGTATAATGTTACCCACACATGTTTATACAAATAAATATATCTCTATCTTTATCATTGTTCTCGTGTCACAAGGATAGCATTAAGTTAAATTCACGGTCTCAAATGTAGACACTCATTTAAATGAATTGATTCACTATTTCTTTACAAGCGCAACAGTATTATTTGTGTCAGAGAAATGAAAAGGACATTGACATTTTACAATAGTTTGTAGGGACAACTATATTTGAGCACAATTGTATTTGGACATCAGGCTTTTACTGACTAAAAACCACCCGTCCCTACTCCTGCACTTCGTAAAGGTTGAGAGCAAAAAAGAAATAGGCATGTTGGCATGGAATTACTAAGTATTACGCGATTACTTACTAATTCCACGGAAATAGTAATTATCCTAGTGTTCATCACTCCCCTACGAATATAAATACTAACCTTTAGCCCAAGAGTATAATAAGTATAGGGGTACCTTTAGCTTCCTAGGTGTAGCCCATCGGACGACGTGACGATCTCCGGCCCGCCCGCGCTAGTCGGGTTTGTAGAGACTCCGCTCGACCGGACTCGACCGCACGACGCTAACAGGTTCGCTGCTCGCCTGGCTTGCCCCGACTCGTGCGTGGCTTCCAGGCGGCGCCACACACTGAACACGACCACTCGCCGCCAACAGCTTGTTGCTCGCCGGGCTTGTCCAAAACGCGGCTTAAAGCGGTGCAAACCACCGGACTTGATTGATCGGGCCCCGCAAGTAACCCGACTACTCCAACCCCTCGCCTACTGTTGCAGGCAGCTATTAAATCCGCCGAGACAGGCATCGGCCTTTTTTTTTCAGCCTTGTTCGGCCCCATCTGTGGTGGTCTGATGGCTCCTTGAGGCGCGCGCGGAACGCGACGCGCCGTACGCTCGGGCTTGGTTCTGGTCGGGCGGCGAGTCACCCATGCTCGCCGTCCGCAGGCCCGTGCTTACGGTGGCCGGAGATCGTCTCGCGATCCCCGACGCCCTGAGTGTCTCTCGCGACGGCCGGGTCGTGAGGAGGTTCGTTCCCTCACGCGCTCCGCCTCCTCCTTAGCTAGCATGACTGCTTCGCAGGAGGAGACGGTATCCCAGTCCCCCTCGCTCCGTAAACAGGCATCGGCCTGGATCGTGCGTCCTCACGCCCCCAGCCAGGATGTTGGGATGACCCCCGTCGCGTCTAGGTGTAGTAATTTCAGCTGAGCATTGTTTCTCAGTCAGTCAGCTAGTCAGTCACTCATTAACGATAGACATCAATATAATTATATAGGTTACATAGTTTGGTACAGGTTGACATAATAAAAGCATGTTCTGTACTTATTATACTATACTTATACTTCCCCTATACTAATTAAACTCTTTGAGCATGTGTAAAGGTGGGTACAGATTGGTGGAATGCAACATGCAATGCAAGAATTTGAGGTCCACATTGCTGCAATGTATCATGTAATGTAACAGGATTCCCATTGTGTGGACGCCTCGCGCACAGGGAACTGCGCCTGGGTCGCGCACGCTCCGAGTTTTACAACTCATGCGCGGCTCGATCCGAGATTTGTCGGTTTTACGAACACAAAGGGGCGCGCAGTGTGCGCAGGACTCAGCCGTGGACGGTCGTTAGTTTCGTTCGCATGCGTAATGATCATGGCGGTGAAGTGATGACGAGCCACTGTCATGATCAACAATGAAGGACTGATAATCGTCAGAGCAAGAACGCTGTCTTCAGACTCCATGATTCGTGTATATCGACTTAAGTAGTGATGTGGGCAAAGAAAAGAACAGGTGTGACGAGGACTAGTGTTTGTAACGAAATGCGGGAACAGATGTTCTCGAATGATTCGTAGTCAATGCGCGTACCGCGCGCGCCACACGTCCAAGGCAGCAGGGAACATGCAATGTAAAGCAGAATATTACATTACATGTTGCATTGCACCAATCTGTCCAATCCGAACATAGCGGAGATAGGCTTCGCTGGCGCATGCGCGCTCGCCGCATCTCCGCATAGCCAACGCGATTTTCAAACCTTCATTTTCGAATCTTCTGGAAAAAATCAATACGCATGCGCGAGTCGCACGTGACCCGCGACGTTCTAGCAGCGATAGACTGCCATTACGCAGCACTGCCTAATTTCCAATAATTTTCTTATTCTCAGTTCACAAAAAAATCCATTTAGGTAAATACACTTTGTTTATAAAACGGGGTTAAAAACAGGTGTTAAAATATATTTACTAAAATATAATTAAAAAACACGCACAAATTGATTGAAATAATCATAGAATTGAATCCGAACATATTCGGACGACGTTGCTACTTTGATTTTAATATATTTAATTTTAAAATATAAAATAAATCTTACTATAAACATAATCTTATAAAGCTCTATGTAATAATTAATAACTAATTAACGCGAGTAGTTCACTTCTGGTGCTGAAAACTTGTTCATTCCGATGTCTGCTAGCATGTAGGTACTGAAACAAATATTATAATTCAAATAAATATTTACAAACAATATAATTTCAAGTGTAACAAACACATTTCTGAAAACCGCATCAAAATTGGTTGAGCCAATCGCGAGAAAATCACGGTCAAACGTACAAACATACATTCAAAGCCATGGGGGTCACCGCTAACCGACGTTACCTGAGGATTTGCCTTCCAACAGTTTTCTTCGTACGTCGTCGGCACGTTTGTTCATCAATTATCTAACGCAACATTTTGGTCGTCCCAAATTAGTATGATGACGGGGTATGAAAATTAATATCGCAATTAGTCCGTCAGTTAGGTAATGAAAAAATATTAGACACGTACTTTTTTATTTTGTCGTATTATGAAATAATACTTATACTCCGTCTGTTTAGGTAGTTAACTATTTGTAAACAAACCATAAAAAGAGTTCTTCATAGTTGACATTTCCATGATTCAAAATACTTCATAAGAAAATAAAATTGTTTCCCTTTTTACGACAGTTTTCTCTATTAAATGTTATGTTTCTGTTCCTTTTCACTTATTTCTTAACTAGCTTCTGCCCGCGACTTCGTACGCATAATCCCATTTTTTCCCGTCCCCGTTCGTGATTTTCGGTAAAAAGTAAAAAAAAAAGAATTGGGTAAAAAGTATCCTATGTCCGTCTCCTGGTTCTAAGCTACCTCCCCACCAATTTTCATCCAAATCGATTTAGCCATTCTTGAGTTATAAATAGTGTAACTAACATGACTTTCTTTTATATTATTTCTTAATAAATATTAAATATATCTGCTTGAGGATATTAATTTAATAACATTTATTAAATAATATAATACTTCATTACAATAGACACCATAAAGAGCCTAAAATCCCAGGTATCCAAAACGTTTCTTTAAGAACGAAGCAAAATAATGTTGTCAAATTAAAGAGTACAACTAAGATGTAGCGCGACAATGAAAGTAGCGTGTATTACGTTTAGTCGGTTAATCAGGCGCCATTGACAGCTCTCTCGTCGTTTGCGCTCGCGTTCCTATTTTGTTGAATTTAACTTGTTTCTTTGTTTTGTTTTTGTTATTAAGTTATTTAAGTTTAGGTTATTCATCGTTTGTAATGAATGTGTTCAAATATATTGAAGAAAGTTGGCCCAAAGACAGATATCCGTACAAGAAAGTAATCCGTACATCAGATTCAGAATAGTTCCTATTTAAACATGATAATGAAATAGACCCTTAAGCTAGGCTCTTGTACGATTTAGGCATTTGTACTTGTATGTGTGTGTATGACAAATGAACGATTTTAAAGTGAATTTAGTTAAAATTAAAACGAGAAATATTTGAAGTAATAGTAGGTTAAGTATCTCTGTGTCACGTGGTTTTCTTTGTTTACCTTTAGTTAATTACCTAAACAGATGGACTATAGATAAAACGAATCAAAGTTTAGGAGTGGGGGCTAAAACGTCATTTTTACGTATAAAATGTACATAGAAGTGACGTCACGTGACATTTCAAATCAATATATCGTCGAAAGTATTCGTTTCTTTATGAAAATAAAAAATACGTGTCTAAACAATCTACCAGACGGACATTAAAATAAAAATTAGGCATCTACCCTATTGTAGGTTCCTATGTAGAAGAACAACTATGATACTCCACTACAGTCAATTCAATCTTTTTGTTATTTCTTTTTTATTTTATTTTTAGTTCTATCAATAGAAACATCAACATCATCATCAGCGTGTAAGTGCCTTCTGCTGACCAAAGACCTCATCTTTCACGGAGAAGGAATGAGCATTAACCACCACGCTTGCTAAATCGGAAAGTGAGTTTGTTTGTTTGTTTGTTCCACTTTCGCGCCGTAACTACTTAACCGATTGCTTTGAATTTTTGCAGACGTGAAGATAGAAGTCTGGATTAAATAATAGGGTACTTTATATCCCGGAAAAATTTGATATTCTCGAGGGAAAACGAAATTATTGGTATAGATAGCGCTGTGTGTATTGGTATATGTCACATAGGCTACTTTTTATCCTTTTGTGACGCGAGCGAAGCCGCGGGTAAAAGCTAGTATTACATAAAGTGCGTTGCGGATCATTAGTGCACAACTTACTTGTTCATGGCTTGAGTTTGAGGAGGAGGAATATTGGTGGGTAGGCCGACTGCAGTTGGTGGATCGATCTTCAGTTGCCTGCGAGGAAAATAAAAACATCTTTATATATGATATGTAAATGAAGAAGCTAAGTTAGCCCTTCATTTAATTTAAATTTCCCGCGTATTTTGGTTCGGACTTTATACGTCAGTATAATCTGTGGTGACAGCTTTTTTCCACTATGTCAAGGACAATGGTTTTGTTTCGTCTCGAGATTTTAGAATAAGCGCGAAAGATATTTGTGGAAATTATTTTTAAAATAAGGATACAAAGGATTGTTTGAAGCAATAGCTCTTAATGTTGTTTCTTTTACAGAGCAACAACATAAGTATCTTGTTTCAATAACCAACTTATTACATATATAATTCTTCTGTGAGTGTGTATGTCACTGAACTTCTCTCAAACGACTGGACCGATTTTGATGATTTTTTTTGTGTGTGTTCACAAATCAGCCCGGCAGATGGCGCTGCAGTCGATTTCTAGGTTAGTTCAGGACAACGTCTGTCGGGTCCGCTAGTATTTATATATATCAAACACAAACGTGATACCACGGACACATGTACACAGGCTTGAAATAACGCTTCTGTTGTGTTTTAGGCAGAGCCGTATTCTCCATAAGGTAAACTATGCAAGTGGGGCGCCCGCGAGACGCGCGTGCCTAATTCCCCATAGTGTTGGCGGCGCTAAAACATTTTTTAAGGGGTCAAAATCATTGGCTTTACTCGTCTGGGTGAGGCGGGAGGGAGTGTCAGACTCTTACTGACTTAAAACCACCACGTTCCTACTCCTGCACTTCGAGCCCCGGTAGCCTTTTACGTCGTAGTCGCGGAGAACCTAACGGGTAACCGGGGCTCCGGCTCGACGTGCAGGAGAAGGAACGGGGTGGTTTTTAGTCAGTAAGAATCTGACACTCCCTTCCGCCTCACCCAGGCGGGAGCAGTCATTCGATGATTATCGCCCCTTAAAAAAAAAACCTTTTACGTCGTACATCCGCGGTGGTCTGATGGCTCTTTGAAGCGTACGCGCGGGTCTTGTTCTAGATGGGCGGCGAATGAGGGGCGCTTAGGAGATGCTTGTCTAGGACGCTCTCTACGTTTAACCCGCCTCTGGTGTCTGCTCAATTGTCAGCCTATGCAATAAAAAACATATATCCTCATATAATAACTTACTTCTTGGTAGAGGGCGCCCTAGACGAACATATAGTGAGTATATTGGCGATATATTAAAGAAGGCCCAAATTAAAAGTACCCTTAACCTACGAGAATGCATAAAAAGATTAATGACTGTTAATGAAGCGAAAGAGTTATGTAGGAATCGTAGTAATTGGCGTTCCCTAAACTCTGCTTACCCCCATGGGAGGTAGCGGAGAACCTAACGGGTAACCGGGGCTCCGGCTCGACGTGCAGGAGAAGGAACGGGGTGGTTTTTAGTCAGCAAGAGTCTGACACTCCCTCCCGCCTCACCCAGGCGGGAGCAGTCATTCGACGATTTTTCCCCCCGTTAAAAAAAAACCACATGGGAGACTGGCGCGAAGTTATGTATGTATGTAATTACTTACTTGTCAGTTTTTCGAAGAGGTTTTTTCCGTGGTGTAATAGCCACTCTTCTTTTAGCTTCCTTACGTGCTTCTTTCTTCTGCGCTTCTTCTTTCAGAGCCTGTTCCACTGCCGTTTCTTTGACGCCAGTAGCCGCAGCAGCTCGTTTGTGAAGCTGTCCCATCGCATCCATTTGCTGAGGACCTGACATCTTCTTTAATTCTTCCAATTCTTGAGCCAAATAGTGGTACACTCGAGCTATCATTATTTTTCTTTGATTCTGTAAATTAAAAACGTATTTATAATTGCATGGTGAGTCTAAGTCTTAAATTAAGGTGTGGAAATCTTACTATCTTACTAATATTATAAATCCGAAAGTGAGTTTGTTTGTTCCACTTTCACGCCGTAACTACTAAACCGATTGCTTTGAATTTTTGCAGACGTAAAGTTGGAAGTCTGGATTAAATAATAGGGTACTTTTTATCCCGGAAAAATTTTATATTCTCGAGGGAAAACGAAATTATTGGTATAGATGGCGCTGTGTGTATTGATTTATGTCACATAGGCTACTTTTTATCCTTTTGTGACGCGAGCGAAACCGCGGGTAAAAGCTAGTATATTATAAGGAAATGTATGATTAATTCTCGCCAGAGTCGTATTATCCTTTAGACGGCTTACAGCCAGTTTCAATAACCTATCTATCAGTAGATTTGTTTACTAGAGATAGAATTTTGACATGAGCTCCATACAAAAAGCGTCAAAAATCTATCTCTAGTAAGCAAATGTACAGATAGATAGGTTACTGAAATTGGATGATAGGCAAACGCCTAGGGTGACCGGTTACAGAGGGTCGAAAAATTACGGCCGCGGCACTCTGGGTTTAGTCTGCATTTGTATTTCGCGGAATGCTGCTCAGGACTACGGGCCCTTTCGTGGCTTGAAACTAGTCGGGTTAACTCGTATCTTGTCAAACAGTGTCAGTGAGTGACCCGTGAAATGATTTTTTTTATTATTTATTTTATTCCCAGCAATATCCTTACAGACTAATCCAAATCGATATTAAGGTTTCTTATATCTAAATTACAAACTAGATTTTTAACTAACCTACTAACGTCCAATTTCAATAACCTATCTATCTTCAGATTTGCTTACTAGAGATAGAGATATAATGTTGACACTTTTTGTATGGAGCTTATGTCAAAATTCTATCTCGACTGCACGGTTGGTGCGGTGGCATGTGTATGTGAACTTGTATGTTTGTAAACGCACCCACGACACAGGAGGAAATTCTAGTGTGGGGCGACGTTTTTTTTTAAAAAAAAAGACGAATCTGTAGATAGGTAGGTTATTTTTTTTTTTTTTTTGAGACAAGCCCGCCACAACCTCCCAAAACCGCTGCAACTCCTGTAAGCCAGGATCTACAGCAGATACAACCATGAAAACACCGGAACACTGAAGTCCGGCGTCCGTCCGTCGATCCTGGCGTGTCCGTCCAGGGACATAAGTAACTGTCTTGGTTCCCGCAACGAAATTAATCAAAAGATATTGTAAGAGGAGAAGAAAAAACTATAGTTTAGATAGGTAGGTTATTGAAACTGGCTATGCCTATGTTAACAAATAAAAGTGATTTGATTTGATTTGATTTGATTTGATTTGGCTGTAAGCTAACCATAAATAAATCTTCTTCATAACTGTAACCATATCAGACTGTTGCTGGTTCCTTCTGACCCCCCGTTAGGAAAAGGTGTGTGTTTAAATAATAAAATTACCTCTTGCCTCTTAGCAGCCGGAGTTTCCACCTCAGTGTTACAATTTGGACAAAACAGTTTTCTGTCATTTTCTTTTTTCGCTTCCGATTTCTGAAATTAAAAATTATTACATATAGATTTACAGGATGTAGGAGAACGGCTTCCGAGAACACAGATAAATAATTTAATCGTTTTTTGTTTTCACCATCAGCCTTGAGCCGTTGAATGCAGTTATTTTTTTTATAATATTACAGATTAATTCTCCACGAACTCTAGGTCCGTGCCCTTGTCATACATTTTTTTTTAATTATAATACATCTAATCAATTTTTATAAAGTAAAGAGGGTACCTAGTTACACACTACCATTAACTACATAGTCATACATCTATAATTATTACCAAAAGTATAAATTACATAATAATTAGGCATTATCTACTTATAAGGCTTCATGAAATCAGCCCACCAACAAGATGGGAGAGCCAACCTGACCCAGCAGAAGGAACCCGTTCACGAGTATGACGTGTGTGTCAGCAATTGGTCGAATGCAGTTATTAATGCATAAAATTTTGAAATTAGAATCCCACCACGTGAATTTTAATTTTCATTTGTGTGTGTTTCATTAGCTCATTTGGTGAGAGTGCCTTCCGTAGATTTACCGAAATTCATGACACCAGAGTTTTGACCGAAAGGTGTTGTTTTCCTGCGATTTCGCGACCGGATACCTGACACCGCGCAGCACACGACGCCGACACAGCACAATAGTCGTGATAATTAGTGATTAAATTTATTACTAACATTATGTACTTATAGTATTTTATGTTAAAATTGTATATTATAGTATTATTGTATTTTAATATTGGCCTTCGTTGCCTGATACAAATAAAGAAATAATAAAAAATAATAATAAAAAAACAAACATTTAATTGAATGACTGCACGGTTGTCGCGGTGGCTGGGTAACCGGCTGCCGCGTAACGTGTAGCGGGTTCCATGTTGTTGTTCCGGGTCTGGGTGTCATGTGTATGTGAACTTGTATGTTTGTAAGCGCACCCACGATACCGGATAAAAAACTCTTGTAAGGCAACGTAAAAAAAAATCTTTACATAAGTATTAGTAATTAGAACACCCGGGCTTCTAATATTCGAATTTTGAACACTCGATGTAATGAGAGTGCGACGTACTGACTGTTCGATACAATAACCATTCGATATTATGAGCGTCCGAATGTTTAGGGTTTCGATCTATAGTGTACGATCAATTAATTAAATTAAATAAAAAAAAAACATTTATTGACAAATAGCTCCACAACACATTTTGTATGTACCTGGAACACACATTAGGATTCTCTTTGTCGTGAGACCGAACTCTTTTGAAGTGTTGAAGAAAAACATAAAATAAAAATAAAAGAAAATAATAATTATGAAAGCACAGAACTTAAAAGTTAAAAGTAGGTTAAGGTAGTGGGCGGGGAACGCGCGCCGCCATCTTGATCAGGTGCTCAAAATCAACTGAAATGTCAAAAAGCGGCCATCGATCGCTGTTGTGACCGTGACAGTGACAGAGTACGAAACTCCGCATACAATAATAAACTATGCCGTCTTGCGCGATTATAACGTGTCGGAAAAGAAGCCAGATATATAATGTATCACGAGAAGGGATTTCTTTCCACCGGTAAATCCAAAAACATTCAAATCTTTGTGATATTTGTAATGATGTTTGTAGACAAAAACGATACTGTAATGATGTTTGTAGACATAAACGACGGATTGCACGGTTGGTGCGGTGGCTGGGCAACCGGCTGCCGTGCAACGTGTCACGGGTTCGATTCCCGCACGAAACAACACTTTGTGTGATCCACAAATTGTTGTTCCGGGTCTGGGTGTCATTGTGTATGTGAACTTGTATGTTTGTAAACGCACCCACGACACAGGAGAAAATCCTAATGTGGGGCAACGTTTTAAAAAAATATATATTATCGCGAGCAGAAGATTAGTAAATACATTGCTTGCAATGAATGAGTAGAATTTTGCACTACGCGAGCGATCGCGCATTGCGTAATGTTCATTGCTAGAGTCCCGAGTACCAAATCAAAGGTTCATTTCCTTGAATCGATAGGGTTGTGTCAATTTGTAAACAATGTCGATAATTACTATTATACAAATTTTCCTTGTCAAACAATACTTTATAACTGAAATAATATTATTTATTATGACAAATTATTAATAAAGTTTGAAATGAAGGATTCTTTTTCGTACCTATTTAAGTTTTATGTAATATTTTAATTCAAACTGACATAGGGTATGATTCAATTTTTTTTCAGGTTTCCTATAGATCCGAACATAAGAAAACTGTGGATTGAGACCACCGGAAAAGCTGATTGGATCCCCACTAAATGTAGTACAATTTGTTCGAAACATTTTGATGATAATGATTACTTAACAACAAAGTCAGGGAAAAGGAACTTAAAACCAGGCGCTTACCCGCATAAATACATCGTTACGTGTTCTTCGGTAAGTAAAATAATTCTATGTTTTACAAAATTTTATCTCTAACTAACTGTTGCCCGCGACTTCGTCCGCGTAGAATAGGGATTCAATTCAAGAGATATTCTACGGTAACGAATGTCGTCAGAATTGATTAACTAGTATAGGGCTCCTCTGTCATAGATGATAGCGTAATATGTTGCCTATATGTTGACCCGACTTGTTAGTAATATTCATGCAAAATTTCATACATACAGACAGACAAAAATTCTAAAATCCATATTTTTGACTTCAGTATCGATTGTAGATCATGCTCCGAGTATTCTTTTAAAACTTTTCTACTTTTCTACGATATTATTATAATTATGTATAGATAGATACACCCCAAAGTCCTATGGGTCATGTAGCGAGGGAACTATAGGTCATAAAAATGACCTAGGTACAGCTTCAAATAAATTGAACCTATTACAGTTCTGGAGTTTAGTGCATTCTTCAGCATTATTATATTAATTAATATAGATTATTTAGGTAATAAATTAACCACATTTTTCAAATTGGACATATCAGCGTTGGAGAAGGGAAAACGGTACCTTAAGTGTCGGATATTCGACCAGAATGATACCTCGGCCGAGCAGAAAACCGATGTGAAACAACGCTTGCGTTATGTTTCGTCGTATGAGTTAGGTTACCGGAGGTTCAATTACCTCCCTGCCCCATCCCCAATCCCTGAATATCCAACAATCCTCATATTCCTAATCCTCAAAAGGCCGGTAACGCACTAGTAACGCCTCTGATGTTCCAACTGGTCTGATTTGAATAATTCTTTACGTGTTGGATAGTGCATTTACCGAGGAAGGTAGATAGGCTATAAAACATCACTTTACGATCTATAGGAGCCGTGCGGAAGGGAGCTAGTATTTTAATTTTTTTTTATCTGTCTGTTCACAACTACACATAGGTAGGTTTTTTATTTTCTATGATATAAGCCGGTAAACGAGCAGACGGATCACATGATGGTAAGCAATCTGCGTCGCTCAAGGACACCTGCAGCTGTAGCCAAATGCCATTTAGCGTTTGTCTACATGTAGAGTAGAAAACTAAAATATATGACGTACATTTTGACACTTGTCAGTGTCATCCCCATACTTTTAGTTTTCTACTCTCTCTGTAGACAAGTGCTAAAGTGGCGTTCGGCTAAAGGCACGGACGCGTACAACGTGCAAGTTACAAGTGCGTTACCGGCCTTTTGGGTAAAAGGAATTTAAAGTTTGTTGGGGATTTAATTGGGCTTCCGGTAACCTCACTCACACAACGAAACACTACGCAAGCATTGATTCACGTCGGTTTTCTGCTTCACCGTGTTGTTACTCCGGTTGAGTCGGCCCATTCGTGCCCCAGCATGGCTCTCCCACACTTCTTCAAACAAACAAACACTTCAGTTTTATATATAAATAAAAAACTATAAACAACATCCCTATGTATGCTTAGATCTTTAAAACTACGCAACGGATTTTGATGCGGTTTATTTTAATAGATTTAGTGATTCTTAAGGAAGGTTTATATGTATAATACATGCATATTGCACCCGTGCGAAGCCGGGGCGGGTCGCTATTGAGCTATAAACTACATAGTATAAAACAAAGTCGCTATCCGTCGTCTGTCCGTCCCTATGTATGCTTAATCTTTAAATCTACGCAACGGATTTTGATGCGGTTTTTTTAATAGAGTGATTCTTGAGGAAGGTTTATATTTTTTGACAATCTTGTCACATCCTTCCAAAACCGCTGCAACTCCTGTAACCCAGGATCTACAGTAGATACAACCATGAAAACACCGGAACACTTAAGTCCGGCGCGTCCCATGGACATGAATAACAGTCTTGGTTCCCGCAACGAAGTGAATCAGAAGATATTATAAGAGGAGAAGAAAAAAAACGATAGTTTCCACTTCACTTGGTAAATTACTGCAAGAACTTAAGCCTACAGGCACAAAAAAGAGACTGTACAACTGGGTGAAGCCCAGTCGCCAAGCACCACGGAAACTTGACTAAAATCTAAGTGGGTCCTATGTGTGAGCTGTTGCTACTTACTTGCTTCCAATAATAGGTTTAGCAAAAGCACCTAAACGCACGGAAAAGGAAGGTTTATATGTATAATTCATGCATATGTCGCTAGTCCTTACTAATATTATAAATCGGAAAGTGAGTTTGTTTGTTTGTTTGTTTGTTTGTTCCACCTTCACGCCGTAACTACTAAACCGATTGTATTGAATTTTTGAAGACGTAAAGTTAGTAGTCTGGATTAAATAATAGGGTACTTTTTAACCCGGAAAAAATTGATATTCCCGAGGAAAAACAAAAGTATTGGTATAGATGGCGCTGTGTATATTGGTATATGTGACATAGGCTACTTTTTATTCTTTTGTGACGCGAGCGAAGCCGCGGGTAAAAGCTAGTAAATAATAAAATAAAAAGTATAAGATATACTCACTCCTGCTTCTTCATCTTTTTTTTTCATGGCTTCCCTCAATCGTCGCCGTACCGTGTCCATTGATATCTACGAAAGACAGACCTTTTTTTTCAAATTGCAAAATTATGACATTACATGTGACTTATAACCTAAATATCGACTCCCTCGTTGGCCGAGTGGTCGCAAGTGCGACTGCCGGGCAAGGGGTCTCGGGTTCGATTCCCGGGTCGGGCAAAGTATTACTGGGTTTGTAAAAAAATCTCAGTAGTAGCACGGAGTCTGGAATTGTGCCCGGTATATGGCAATAGGCTCACCCCCTATTACATGGGACTCATAACATAAATAGTGAAAAGTGGGTGTTACATTGTACAGTGGCATAATGTGCATCTCTGTCTACCTCTTCGGGGATAAAAGGCGTGATGTTATGTTATGTTGTTGATTTATGGCAACAGGCTCGCACCTATTACAAGGAATGCATAAGTAAACTGGCGAAAAATCTCAGTAGTAGAATGTAGTGTGGAATTACATTCTACTAGTGCCCGGTATATGGCAATAAGCTCGCTCCCTATTACATGGGACTCATAACATGAATAGTGAAAAGTTGGTGTTACATTGTACAGTGGCATTAAGTGTTGTAATATGCACCTCGGCCTACCCCTTCAGGGATAAAAGGTGTGTGTTATACTACAAAATATTGAATGGAGTATTAGTTACTCACATTGTAACTAGTAGAAGAGACTCGCGTGCTCATGAGTGGGTCGGAAGCGTGAGCCGCGACTATGGCAGCGTCCTGCTCCGCGGTGGTAGCTCTCTTGTAAACTTTACGGTGATGAGCTTGCAAGCTACCGTCCTTCTCCCAACGTCTTATCCACAGGTAAATTGTTCTTTTCTGAAATAAAATTTTAATATTCATGCTGACTGCCTCGTTGGCCGAGTGGTCGCAAGTTCGACTGCCGGGCAAGGGGTCTCGGGTTCGATTCCCGAGTCGGGCAAAGTATTAATAGGTTTTTAAAAATCTCAGTAGTAGCACGGAGTCTGGAAATGTGCCCGGTATATGGCAATAGGCTCACCCCCTATTATATGGGACTCATAACATAAATAGTGAAAAGTGGGTGTTACATTGTACAGTGGCATTAGTGAAAAGTGGGTGGTACAGTAGCATTAAGTGCTGAAATGTGCACCTTCCATACACCTTCGGGGATAAAAAGGAGTGTTATGTTATGTTATTCATGCTGTATTAATTCATATTCATTCACTGTAATGTAAAATAAGTTTTGTCAACAACAAGTAACAAGGTTCGCAATCGGACTCGTAATAGACGAGGTGTATGAACGATTTTGGAGATTATGTTATCCTTCTTGGTACCTTATTTGCGTAATAATAGACTAATAGTGTATTTGTGCATTGTTTCGTACGTAAAGTGACTTAGTAAAGTAAATATAACAAATACAAGTACTGTGAATATTTCGAACATGTTCGGTTTCACAGACAGATCTATTTATTTTGAATTTTGTAATAGGCTTGTTATTGTTAACTTTAATTTTTACTAATCAAGTATGGTATAATATTATGTTATTCACCGTAATTCCTGTAAGACGACTTATGTCTACTATACGGCAACCACTCTGCCGTAGAGCAATGATGTGCTCCCGTTCTAAGGCTGTAAGCCGAGGCGCCATTTATTTACGACGGCCCGCCGTTTACACGGTTTATATTATTAAATAAACAAGAAATAACAAAATACTAATCCAATTTTCTTTTCACTGTGGATTATTGACATCTAACTTATTGACAGATTTGGGCGTCTCTATAGTCTATGCTGAATAATAGATTATAAAATTAAAAGTACTACACCATAGACGAACTAATAGATCCAGCACAGATGTAAAAATAGAGATCCAGAGACCGTGGCATCCAAAAGTTTGTTTCGTCTATTTAATTATGAAAATGAGGGCGCCACAAATCATTCCGCGTCATTCACATAGCAACCCCTACACCGCGACTAGAGAATATTGATACTAGTACATCATTTTATACAGGAAGCTTACATAAATTACCGATCACATTTTGACTAGTTAATCTAAAATCAAGAAACAGACACCTATTAAACTATTATTAGATTGTTGAAATAATTTATGTATATTATAGGACCTACCCGAAGTCTAGATCGTTCAAGAAGATGACAATGTAATAAAACAATCTTATATTTATTTATTGATTGTAATCACAGACATAGATCTACATAGATAACACAAATGCATGCACTTCGTGTCTGAACCCAACCAAGCGTCGAGGTTGGTCGCCGCTAACTTCAGTCTCTGCCAAAGAGTATTATAAGTATAGGGGAAGTCTCTGCGCGTCCGTTGTTGCAGCCGAACGTCCGCAAAAAACTAAAAAAATGCCTCGTTGCGTTATAATTAACTGCATTAGCTCAAACATTTCCAGCAGCCAAAGGCAGGAACATATTTCCTATCACAGGTAAGTTATTTTAAAATTATAAAATGCGAAAATTCATATTAAAACTATTTTTAAGTATTCTTAAGTAAGCTGCGTGTCGTTCCAGAATATTCCTTTTTACCTAACTCCTAACCACGGAATATAGAATACAATAAGGGTTGCCACCTTTTATTTTGGTATTTAACTCATCGAGTACCGTATTTATAGACACAAATAAAGAACAATAGGTTGCGGTCACCGGTGACCGCTTGGTGTTTGACAGTTTAAAGTACATTGACGATAAGTAAGAAAAAAAAGTACACAGTATACAAAAATAAAGTACAGTTTATTCTTATTTAATATTATATTTAAAAATATAATTTGATAACTTTTTGCAGGTTGTATTAAATTAGTATCTTTACTAAACAATTGCATTGAAATACTAAACAATTGCATCTTAACTAGAAATTGTCTAAGTGGCGCTGGCGAGCGGCGAAATCGATTCAACATAAGTCGATAAATATCGATATCGAATTTTGCAAAAATAAAGTATTTTCGTGTACTTTATTAATCTTATAAAGTATAGAGTACAATTGCCTTAAATAACGTACAATACTTTATTTTTATTATAAAGTACGCATAGCTTAGACAATGGCAACCCTACATGGAACGCGTGCCACAAATAAGCAGTGCTCGGCTTAGTCGAGGCAAATTCATTCGAGTTCAGTCTCGTTCGAACATCGCGTCGAGTTGCTTGTCTCGTGACAAATACATATTTCCTCAAGTATGCCGTTTTGTTCCGTTTTGGAGTGTAAAAATGATAGCAGCCGACAAAATCGTAAAAATGGAGGTGTTTCGTATAATCGGTAAGTACAATTTTCATTGTTTTCTTGTAGAAATCATATTTTATTTCAATTTACAAAAACGGTTATTAAAATAATATTATTTACTAAAACGGTTAGTCAAAATCAACCTTACGCCTTCAAGATAAAGATTATTTTGGATTTATTCCATTCAATAGAACATTCTCGTCAGTTCTACGCTACTCAAATAGTGATGTGGTCAAATTACATATTGATATCGATGCAAGTGTAATGTAACATTTATTTAGATTATTTTTTTTATTATTATTTTATTTGGGCCGTAGACGTCGCTCCGTTGGTACGAAAGCGACTGGCGCGGGCGGCTAAGCAATACCTACAGTGCGTTTTTTAATCCTAGGCAACATTTGACGGCAACAAATGTCAAACTACAAAAATTGTTTAGAACAATGTCCAATTTTGTTGTAGGTTGACATTTCAACTTGTCAAATCGTTGCCTTTTTTTTAAGGGCGGAAAATCATCGAATGACTGCTCCCGCCTGGGTGAGGCGGAAGGGAGTGTCATACTCTTACTGACTAAAAACCACCCTGTTCCTTCTCCCGCACGTCGAGCCGGAGCCCCGGTTACCCGTTAGATTCTCCGCGACTCCGAATCAGCATCGGCCCTATTGAGCCCTATCTGTGGTGGTCTGATGGCTCTTTGAGGCGCCCGCGGAACGCGACGCGCCGTACGCTCGGGTCTGTTTCTGGTCGGACGGGGAGCCATCCATGCTCGCCGTCCGCAGGCCCGCGCTTACGGTGGCCGAAGATCGTTCCGCGATCCCCGACGCCCGGTGTGTCCCTCGCGATGGCTGGGTTGCGAGGAGGCAGCGCTTCGCTGCCTCACGCGTCCCGCCTCCTCCTTAGCTAGCATAACTGCTTCGCAAAATGAGGAAACGGCATCCCAGTAGGTACTGTTATCGGGTAAAGTCTTACTCACTAAAAAAAAAACACTTTTAGAATGTCCAGAAATATAATAAGAAAATAGTAAAATTACAAAACCCTTAGTGTGTCCGCCACGAGGTCCAAAGTAAGTGTGTCATTCTAATAAAGGAAATGAAACGTGTAATGTTAAGTAAACGTGGCGCATCAACGTGAGCAACGGGGATGCGGTGTCAGCGGTTTTATTTTAAATGTCGGGGCTATAATAACTTATAACAACCCCCCCGATAAGATTGATCATCGCGGATAAGAGAGATGAGAAATCTAAGGAAATGCTACTTTGGACTTCGTTTTGGTTACAAAATTAACTTAACAACTATAAGAAATAGAATAGACAATACTTAATAATTATGATTATTAATTAAGATTATTGAGGCTTAGGCCTAACTGAAAATATAAGAAAAGTTTTGACATAATAACATAAGCGAGACGTTGAATGTTTCATAGGATTAGAATACTTAGGTCATTAATAAAAAATTACATTATAATATTACGCCTTATAGGAGTAGGCAAGGACTTACTTGATCCTTGAATATCTTCATCTGAAAATTCACCAGAACAATCATTTGTTGGTTTAACAGGCTGGACAGATTGTACTATTTGTTGTCCTTTAGTATTACACTGATTAAAAAATTGGATACAGTATTGAGTCATGCACATCAGTTTCCTAAACCTATACAAGAGATAAACAAGAACAATGATGGAAACAACGTATGTTAGAGACAGGTAATGGGTGGAATATCTTTCTAAGTGAGATGGTTGTTCAATTTTATTGAGTTCCTTTTCAAACTCGTTCAAATGCACACTCGCTTCTAATAAGGAATCGAAATCGTTCACGTTTGATAATTTAACAAAAGGGAGATGCTGCGTTGTCTTGTTTATCTTTTGCTTATCACAACAATCATCTTCTAATATATTGAAATTAGATATCTGATTAGTAACATTAGATGTAATGAAGTCATTAGGCGTAAATTTCAAAGTTTTAAAGTAAGCTGTACAATATTTCGGTAGGGTTAACATGCCTGTACCGAAAAGGATTTTGTCATAACTACTAGGATCATTTTCACAGGTAACATGAACTTTCCCAGGTTCTGATTGTACAAATAACCAATTATTATTGTTTAACTTAAAGAATACATCGATTAAACCATATATTAACTTAGTGTTACATGAATTTGGTAGGGAGCTTATAGCTTCGGTTAATAACTTTGTTTCACAAGTTGGGTTCGCGATAGTAGAATACACATTCCCTAAAGAACACACATAACACTCATTTTGTATCACTTGACACTTATCCACTGACTCTAATAGTGAATAGAACATACGATCTGTTGTTATAGCCACATAAGGTTTACTAGGTGCGACGAGTACATAAGTGTCTGGTTTTGTAATATCGTAAGGAATTGGAAGTGGAACGGTGTGGTATAGATTATACATCTGAGGTAAGACCAGCGGAATTCGAGTGACAATAATGACCTTGTTAAGATGGTAATAAGAGACTAAGTTAGATATGTCTATAATTATATGTATATTTTCTAAGGATAGAGTTACAGGGAGTTCGCAGTGCTTAGGTAGCTTGTCTTTATGTAGGTCAAGTTCATGGAACAGCTGATAGGGACTAAGTACGGTCGGATGAAGAATGTTGAGTTTGCTGAATAGGATAGCATTGTTTATATCGTCGATGTCAAAGGACAAGGCAATCGTTATGCTTTCTAAGTCATTTAATAACATCGTTAATTGAGTTTTGATTTCTAATTTATCACTGGAATTTGAAAATTGTTCTAATGTCTTCCGGATAGTTTCCAAATTTTGATTTAATTGATTTTGATTTTTATTTACTTTTGACATTGTGTTGTTGAAGTTTAAGATAGTAGATCGAACAACGTGGATGTTATTTCTCATTAAGTCTGCCAATTGCTTTTCATCAGATTGGACTTTAGTAATCGCATCTGAGAATTTTAGGGCATCTTCGGAGTCCAAAGTCCCAAAGATTGATTTAAGAATTGAACCGCCTGCGTCTATGAGTCCACGTTTCAAACGATTAGGTTTTTGATCTCCAACAAGGTATGATATCGATGAAAACTTGCGAACATTGTTAAGATGTTGGTTTTGTAAAGGCGTTAGTGAATTAAAGCACTCTGATTTAACTTTACTGGAAGAATTAGAGTCGCAAAATTTAGAAATTTCTTGAATCAAGTCTTCGACTTTATCCAAGTGTGGTTTTATATGACTTATATCTAAGTATGTGACTACGTTCCAGCGGTCATTGGTGAACTTGACGTTTGGTAGTTGGTCAAAGTATAATCCAGGACTGCCTACGATCGGTGTGATGAACTTATGGCCTGAAGACGGTTGAAATATGATCCTGGAAAAGAGAATATTGGGCTAGTCATCTATAGCGATTTTAATTTCATCATAGTGATGACGAATATGTTTTCTGT